GCCGGCCTGCGCGGGCCGTACGTTATGTATGTGTGACCGGGCCTTAAGAGCTGTATACATATACAGAAATCACACACTGCTTTCAGCAGGGCACTCTTGATATGGAATAGTCCAAAGAAGTACCTATTACCAAAATAATCCCATGCTAATTTTGATGTAGTTCATCATCAGTTACCGATGATTTGAAACCGATTTCAGCGACACTTTTGCCAGTTTATCTCTGTAATGCGTACCCAATTCCTTCTTCTGGGCTCCTAAGAAGTTGAGAAAAACAAATAGATGTTCTTGAAAAAGGCACGGCCTGGAATAAATAGTAACAGAACCAGTTTATAGAACAGGAAGCAGAAGAACCGCGGCCAAAGCCGAGTTAACCCGCGCCCTGCTGGGGGTCCTGGATTTCCACGCCCTGCTGGGGGGGGGGGTGTTTGAACACCCCCCCTTGTAACTCGGCTCCTGGGCCACGTAGCGATACGCGGAAGGTGGCGTTCGAAAGAGCGTAAAAAATAATGACGAAATCACTTCGGTCAATTTTTTGGTCAGGTCAAAGGTCAGGTCACCAGAGGTCATTGAAGGCAAAATTTCGCCGATTTCCAGGTCGAATGTCGAAAATTTCCAAGAAGCCAACGCATAACTCGGAAACCAATAGAGCTACAGCGCCGCGGAAAAGCGCATTCGATAGCCCTATTAACGCCCTTTCTGAGTAATTCTCTCAGATTTGACCTAACGTCAACGGTTTTGCCTGCAGGGGGCAAAAACTGCAAAAATAGCCGATTTTTTTTGAAAACAGTTTTTCTGCAATAACTTTTGACCCAAGCCTTGTACGAGCTTACTTTTACCGGCATCGTGTTCCTCTTGTCAAGACGCATCGAATGAACTATAACTTGACCTTGAAAGGTCAACTTGAAAATTTGACCTCAGGTCAAGGTCATGACCTGACCGGAAAGGGTCATGTTGCATATCAGTCGATCCGTATCGTCGAGCTGAACACATCTAAGGCGTTTTCATCGCTCTAGCATGCCTCTATCAAAAGTTATTTGCGAAAAACTGTTAGATACCATTCGTGACCTAAGATGACCTCAGGGCATAAACAAGGGTCACGGACACCATTTTTAAGTTCAGTGTGTCTAAACCACTTGTAATTCGGTGTTTGGGAGTGTTTATAATGTCTTTCATCCAAAAGAGGCGCATTTCAATTTTCTCCCATTGACTTATAATGGGGAGGTCGCAAAATTGACCTGACCTTAGGTCATCGATATCAAAATTCTGAGATATACATTTTGTACATGCTATTGCTCTTAGCAATCGCTGAAAGTTTCAAAGCGATCGGTCACTCGGTGTAGCTATGACAGACATTGAAAGTTTTTATGAGGTGAGGTCACTTCAAGTGACCTGGTGACCTGACCTTGAATGACCTTGGTCTGAAATTTTCACAACATGTGTAGAATTGATGTATGATAAGGTGTACCAAAAACGGCGGCGCTCCGCGCCGCCGTTTTTGAGATATTCGCGAAAAACCACAAGGGGGGGTGTTCAAACACCCCCCCCCAGCAGGGCGCGGGTTAATATCTAAATCATGCTGCAAAACCCACACAAACACGCGACCACACGCGATGCAAACACACGGCAGCACAAGTTGCCAGCACACAGGGGCCCGGGAACGATTTTCAAGTTGGGGGGGGGGGGGGGCGAGCCTAAAATGCCTGACATGATGCATATGAAGCAGTGGCGTAGTTAGGGGTCTAAGGGGACACGTACCCCCCCCCCCCACCCATCGGGTTGAAAGGGACCCGTCTCCAAAGGCCCGTTACTGGCCTCTGAGAGTTCTTACCGGCATATGAGGGGCCAGTTCTAGGGGCATTTCCCGCCTGTGATGGTCACACACTTATTTTTCCGAGGGTCCCATAAGAGGGTCCCATAACTGTGGGGGCCCTCATCGGCGCCTATGAGGGCCCACACCGGTGTCTCTGAGCGTTTCACACCCCCAACTCTGAGTGCCTATACCAGTGCCTTTTAAAGCCCTATATCGGCGGCTCTGAGGACCCAACAGTCAACACCTGCGCATCTAAAGGCCACCCACTGGAAACTTTTGAGGGCCCCACACCGGTGACTCTGAGCCCTGAAGGCCCCACCGGCGTCTGACAGTACCATGCCGGTCTCTAAGGACCCCACAAGACTTCTTGTGCCGGCCTAAGGGCCCCGTGCCGGTCACTGAGAACTCTCTGTTGGTTTGTAGAGGGTTCGCGTCAGCAGCTCTAAAGACCCTACAGCCGTCTGTAACGGCTCCACACCAGCGTCTATGAGATCCCAGAGCAACGCCTGTAAGGACCCTCACCGGCGCCTCTGAGAGAATCACACTAGCACCTCTGTGCGCCCGAACCGGCACCTGCATGGCGGCCCATACCAATGACTCTAAAGGCCCCTTACCGGTGGCTCTGAGGGCCCTATACGCCGGTGATTCTGAGGGTGCTACCGATAACCAAATGCATCAGACAAGCCCTTAGTGTCGCTGAGCTTTAATCCCATAGATACCGGCCTTCCGAGGGCGCCACGTCAGTGCACTCATTGCCCCACACCCCTCCCTCACACCCGGAGCGGGTAAACTGTGTTATAACTTATACCTATTATAGCAACGATTTTACCACCGTTGTACGTTATATATTTCTCAAAGTTTTCTCAAAATGGTCTAGTATAAAATCTGGCCTGCCAAACTCATGGCCAAGGCCAGGCCCAAACCAAAGCGGGGTGACAATAGCAGATGTTGTGAAATCGATACTGTATCAGCAGAAACCATTCAGATGGCTAGAAAAATGCCGTGTGATGATGTTTAGATGGAAAACAAGAAGGAAAGAAGTCCGGAAAAGGGAAGAAAGATCCTTTCACGCTGCCTTAATGTTGAGGGGGCGGCGCCCCCTCGGCTCTCAAGTTGGGGGGGGGGGGGCAAGCGCCCCCGCTGCCCCCCCTGTTCCCGGGTCTATGCCAGCACATACAAACTTTTGACACGAATCACACTATCAGACCTCCAACAACGCAAGCCAATGGGAGGAGCTCGCCTTTGGTTTCACCGCAGACATTTTATCCGCAGCCCATGAGTGTGTGCCGGCACGAGCCAACCACAAGAGATAATCTCCAGCGTCTGAATCGGCGGTAAAAACTAGTATGATTAGCGCCGTAGGATTTCTCGAAGCTCAAGCCGATACACCCGAGCTAGAAGGACGCCTGAAAGGTAGCGGTTGTCAAAATGATTGGACCTTCCGTTTACTCTGCGGTTACAGTAAGCTAGGGTTACGTGGTAAAACATTTCCGATCAATGACAAGATGCTGCGGGATGTGAAGAGCTCGAATGATCTTCAACTTTCGTTGGAGATGATAACAGTTTTTCATTTACTATTTTTAACTTGTAATTATCGGATTTCAGAGAAACTGTTGCTAATGCCTACAGGAAAGACAGACGTTTGGTTATTATGAGTGAAATTGCGATGCTATCACGCAGGGAAGGGCTTTTGCAATCTCTCGTCGCAAATGACAACCATTGCTCCAATGCGTCAAGAACTGCCGGTATCGATTCGAAAAGTATACAGCCCTGGTCTCACTGCGTGGTTGGCATTCTTTCTACAAAACCAAGAATAACTCGAATTCTATGTAATCGATCATTCAGAAATCATAACACCCTGAGACGCGCAAGGCTCCACTCCTAAGATTGGGCTCATCATTGTCTAATTTTCCATTCAGTTCAGCGGCAATAGAAAAAGTTTTTATTGACTCCAAAACAAACTTGCTTTTTACTGCCTCACTAGACAGATAATTTGTTTAGTGATGGACCCAATCGCAATGGTTAAGCATCGTGCATCTTATTGGTATTATTTCCGAGTGACTTCTTCTATAGCTTTCGAACTATTTTCGGTTTTGTCGAAAAAAAGAATAGCTATCACTCGGTGCGGCGAGGGCTCTCCTATCCAAACCACTGATAAACGTAAACGTAGTGAGTGGTAATCAAGTGCGTGACCACCAAATGACGTTTCGCCGTTGTTGTAAATGAAAATGAGCTTGATTGGTACCAGTTATTGCTCCAAGTACAAACGCCTAATAAAAGTTTGTTGAAAAAAGTTTTGCTAATTCCTACTAAACACATTGACTAGAGTGACTGCGAAAAGAAGCTGTGCATACTAGTCGAATTAGCAATGCTCTGAAGTGTACCCCTTAGCAACTCTCGAGAGTAACACCATGTGAAAGTTCGTAGCTCCATTTAACTTTTAAAACGCTGTTTTACTACATCACTTGTTATAGAACTCCACATCCAATGGTCGTCCTCAACCTGCCTTTATTTGTGACTGCCCTCCATTTTACGCAACACACATTACCAATATGAACCGATCAATATGTTTGGGATCCCGATGGTCTCAGTCACGCTTTAGCTTTTCTCCAGCAATGAATCCGATGCCAGTCCTCCGGCCTCCATTCCGACAAGACCACCACGAATCCGGTCAAACCGGAAACGGACCCGGACTCCCGGGTCCGAATGCGGTTAATATCTGGCAACTCTAAGCAGTGCTAACTACCAGTGTTAATGAGGTCCTACACAGAGACCAATGTCCACGTGTCATTGGGAATAGCCGCAGTGAGTTATGTGTCATTAGGTGAATAGAAAGCGGTCGGCGATCGAATGAATAGATGATCCACGGAACCGGTAAAAGGATTGCTAAGCGGTATGTTGGCTATTGATGAATGGCGTTTACATAGTTAGTTAGATATCGTTTTATTGAATGAATAACGAGCTGGTATTTGTGAAAGACGTACCGAAAATAACGACCATAGTTGAGAAAATCGCTGTACAACATTGACTATTCCAGCCATACTATACTTATCAAATCGGCCATACTACAATTACACTAACAATTCGATTGCACACACTACGTTCACTTTTTCACACTCACAGTTCTCTCTTACAAATTCTAGACTCACATAACTTCACCATTCCAACGCTCACAAACTCACCATTTCCATGAAGTTGCCCAAATCTCCAGCCGCCATTTCGGCAACGAAGCCGTGTGAAGTCGAGGGAAGCAGCAGCAGCAGCAGCAGCAGCGGCGGCGACAGCAGGGTTGTGGACAGTGACAGGACGTGACACAGACAGCTGGAAGACCGGGCGCGATGGCTCCGATGTCGCTGGCAGCCGGTGTGCAGACTCTGAGAACACAGAGAGTGAGGTTAGTGGTGTCGTGATAACCTTCTCGGTGAAGGGCAGGATAGGCTTCATTCTTTACTTGGGGACTGCCTGGCAGCGCTGGGCAGTGGGCAATGGTCGATGCACCCGACTTATGTACTACATGTATATAATACGTAACATTTATAAATGCGTTCGTGCATGAATGTATGTTAAGTGGGAGGGAGGGAGGGAGGGAGGGACCAGAGACTAGGCTGGCACTGCCGTAGCCCCATTCTTTTATAATGATGCGTTGAATCACACCACGCCCGCCTCTTTCCACGGAACTTGTCTTTGGCTCCTGGTAACTAGTTATTTCGTCCGGAGCCCTAATATGACCCGGCAGGATGTCTCCTCCATCCCGCCCCAATTCCACCTAGTTCTGCTCAGTTATCAGTTATCTCCAGTTGACCTGCTCCTTGATCTGCAGCCGTCGACAGCGCTCATTGGTCAATCCCCTAATGACGTCACTAGTCCGAAAGGCGCCATGGTGCAGATAATCTTGATCTGCACTGCCCGGCCATTGACTGCCGTCTCCCCTCACAAGAGCCTTGAGCAAGTCAGCATGGCTAGCCGATGAGAGACAGACTAGAATCAGAACTGTGTCCTCAAGCGGCTTGTTTCTAGGTCATCAGTGCAGCTATAAATGTGCAGCATCATGGTGATGAAATTGTTGATAAGGCCCATGGTTTGCAATCTCAAGGTTCAGTCGATGCTTTTAGTTTCGTCCTCTGCCTGCGCCTCATCCCTGACTACATTTTTTTGTTGAAACTAACAGTAAATATTGGTAGGTGTAAACCAAGCCTGCTTCATGTCTGTTGGTTCTGTATGTTGTCTTCCACACATTTTCTAATAGACGTTTTTTCGGCTAGTTGTTTTTGTTTTTGAATTTTCGACCTAGAAACTATAAAGAAAGACACTATAAAGAAAGACTCAATGGAGGACAATCTCGGTAAATGGGACAGAATCTGCTGCTCCTGTCCGCGATTTTGTTCTCCGACTTAGACTTCATTTCTAAATGGCTGGACCGTGCTCGTTGCCTGCGCTTAGGCCAAACTAATCTGCAGACTTGCTATTCCAGTTTCTGGCTTTGAGTTCCTAGTCCAACTTCGACTTTCCACTGTGAGCGTGTCCTCTGGCCCTAAGAAATTCGTATGGGAACTAAAATAATAGCTACTACTCAAATTAATAACAAATATCACACCTTTGGATGAGCATTCGGTTAGACATCGAAAACAGAACATGACGTTTATTGAAGCGATCCACAGCGCTCGACAGTTATCAACTCTCGTTAAGATAGTGATGGATGGTCACACACTCTCATACTACTCTCTCAGCTCTACTCAGCTGACAAAGTCACCCGCGGATTATTCGTGCAGGTCAAGGTCACCCAGCTGTCCAATTAGAGTTCAGCTCCGACCACGGACCACCCCTTCTCTCACTGAACCGGACGTAGCCGGCACCAGACAGCGGCGACAGACAGTGACATTTTTACGACGGGAAATCATTCTGCCGCGCTGGTGGCCAGTCGTTTCCATACAAAATTCATGTATATCCTATACCAGAGATGTACGGCGAGAGTGGTCTCGTCTGCATCCAGCGGTGCACCGGCAACCGGCCACTATTCCGGTTTGAGCACTTTCACTTCGGGACGAGCATGAAGCACACGGTTACGCGCAGTTGGCGGCCGCCGAACGCTTCTGCACCGCTCCGGGCGAGTTGCAGTGAGCAGTTCATCTTGTCCAAGTGACTGAAGAGGGTCGCGCCACAGTCATTACCGCGTGGTTGGTCTTCCCCGGTGATCTGATGAGTTGAAGACAGGTGGCTGTCTCTCGGTAGAAAGCGGCGGATCTGTGTCGTGGTCTGAGCGGAGGCTGATCTGCATCGGGTAACCGGTCCGCTCCTCTGACTGATCAGAGGAGCGGACTTGAGCCAGAAGAAGCAAGGCTCAACCTACGACCCAAGCAAAGTCCATTCTTTGACGCGAGTAAAGTTCTCATCTGGTCCAGCCAGGAGGGGCTCAGCTGCTGAAACGAGCAGAGCCACTCCTCTAACCAAAGCCCGGCCGACCCCAGCTCACGGCCCCCTCCTCTGATTCCATCCAAGCCCCTCTCGTGACCCAGAATCAGCCACTCTCTTGACCAGAGTCCAACAACTCCATGCAACTCCTCTGACCCAAGCTCAGCCCTTTCTTGGCTCAGATCCTAGCCCTCCGCAACCCTCCCCTTCAGCGACCCCTCTCACTGCCGCTTTTGTATTGCTGCACTGTCCCTAACCTTGCCTCTGTCTTTTTCCTCCATGACTCTGTCTTGTCCATTCAACACCACTCCCTTGCCGTTGGAGTTTATACAGTGTTTCCACATCTACCTGTTCATATTGCCATCAATGGCTCTCAGCATTCATTCCCGTCAATGCTAGCTCTACGCCAAATCCCCATCCTAATCCCTAATTATCCCCTTCCTCGCTGATGCTACCGTTTTTTTTTTTTTTTACTTTAGTTCCTACTCCGCGCCTACTCTTTGTGCCTGTTCTCCGCATATTACCCTTGATGCCGATCTCCGTAGCTAAGCAAAGGAACCAAAACGCCAGAGTGGATCGGCAGGACTGCTTTCGTGGCCTGCTACCAGGGAGCGGGCGGAAAATTCATGCCAATGAACAGGGGCGGGCCCGGCACTGTGGTAGCTACTGTTCACTGGCGGCACGGTGGTCATTGGAGCGGTTACACGCCATGCTAGGTATGTGGATGGGGATAGGGTTATAGGGATGGTTTCAAGCCATCGTGATCAGGTCGGTGAAACACCACTGTTATACGGAATTAAAGCTGACCAATGACCACACAATGTGATAGATATTTGTAGGCACTGACAAAGGCGTTACAACCACTGACAAATCATAGTTGCGATCCGATAGTAGAAGCAGAAGAAAAGAGACGCGTTCTATAGACAAGTGCATGCATTTTACATAGACAATGGTAATTTTGTTCGTTACAGAAATTACCATAGCACGGCTTGTAACCGAAGGTTTGTTGTCAATAGTTAAAACACTATTCTTTAGAATTGTGTTTTTCTATTGAAAAACAAATCTGAGTTCCCTGACAAATTGGCAAAAGCTGCCTGAGATCAGTACAACTTGATGCTCTTGAAAACGGCTGCTCCAAAAATTCTGATTTTTTCAGGATTTCTAGTGGGCCAGGTGATCTACGTTCTGGTATTGGTCTCCCCTCCGCGGACCATCTGGTGCACGTGCCACGTGACTTTGAAAATTCCCGTGTTAAGCCAATGGGTGAAGTGAAAAAATGCGTTCCGCGGCAGATTGCTCGAAAACGATCCAAACGACCCCTCATTTTCTTCCATGCGGATCAACCACCATTCGGTGCACTACCTATGGGTATGTCGCAAAGTGGCCGGAAAAGTCCAGAACCACGTGCCACGTGCCGTTGAAAATGACCCTGCACACCGGAAATTTGGACTTTAGGTCATTTCGGCACACCCGCGAAGCAGACTATGACGTGGGTGACCAAACAATGGGTGTCATCTGGTCGGCAACTGTTTTAAGGTGTCGTCCAGTGGGTCAAAGTTATAGTTCTAAACTTTTGGGATCCACCATTCTGAGGATTCTCTTTGACAATTACCTACGTGTCTTGACACAATGTTTAGTCCACCCGGCCGGTCGTCAATGCGTTAGGTGACCCAAATGAAGATTGACCTGAAGGAAGTTGGGGGCGAGGAACACGCACGTGCCATCCGTTTTTTAGTTGGGCGCTTCCATCTAGGAGATTTTTGCAGAGGTCTTTTTGATTTGTGAAAATGACCAAAAAGCTGCTGAATCTCTGAACTCCTAGCGGTATGCCAGTCGTTGCGTTGGCGTTTCGGGCGTGCGTTTTGCGCGTTTTGCGGTGTTTGCGTTTTGCGGCGGGCGGGCGTTTTGTGTTTTTTTTTTGCGGTGTTTGTGTTTGGCGGCGGGCGGGCGGGCGATGCGGGCGGTTTTGTTTTTTTTTTTTTGCGTCGTTTGCGGTGTTAAATTTGTTTGCGGTTAGCGGCCGCTTTTTCGTTTCTTTTTTTGCGGTGTTTGCTTTTGGCGGCGGGCGGGCGATTTTTAGGCGTTTTCGGTTGGCGGTTAGCGGGCGTGCGATGCGGGCGGTTTTATCTTTTGCGGTGCTTTTGCGTTTCTTTTGCGGTTTGCGGCAGGCGTGCGTTTGTTTATTGTTTTTGTTTGCGACGTTTGCGTTGGCGTTTGGGATGTGCGTTTTGCGCGTTTTGCGGTGTTTGCGTTTTGCGGCGGGCGGGCGTTTTTTTCACAATTTAAAGTCCAAACCTTCGGGCCACAGCGCTCTTCGAAAAGCGCTGCCCTCGAGTATAACTAGTGTGATTACATCCTTTCCTCATCTGCTGACTGGATTACAAGTAAATCATGATCTTTCCACGATGAGTTTTCTTTCTTTAGTCATTTGCGCAGCGCTTATAGACCAACTGCTAAGATAACTCCCCTACATTGACGGTCGCAGACAATCGCACGAGGTGTGACTACACAGTACACATACATACAACCATATGCGGCACCGGCAGCATTGGGGCGGACGCTGGGGCTGGGGCTGGAGCGGGGGCGGGGGCGGGGGTTGGGCGGTTCCCGGAGCTGACAGTGACCCCGGGCTGACCCTGGTGGTCCCAACGGGCCAGGATCCGGCGGCACGCGTCCATAACGCCGGCTGCCAGTCACGGAGGTATGCTGCGCGCAGGTGGGTGGCCGCCCCTCCCCCATCCTCCCCCTCCCACCTCAGTAACGGCTCATGCCATTACCACCAACGAGTTCAAGCCGTCCTGACTGCCCTTCTGGGCATGGTGGAGGGGGGCGATTCTGCCGCAAACGCACTGTAACGACCATCGAAAACTCCGGGAGTGATGACCGAAAGGTGTGGTATGTGCCTGCGGGCTTCCCGACGAGCTGTTCTCACGCGAAGGGATACGAACTAATTCTTGGGTCGGTT